ACATTTTCATACGAATTGAAGCGTTGTTCAGCGAGAGCGTGTCCCATTGATGCGAATAGATGATAATCGGACGGAGCCAAGTCTGGAGAATAAGCCGCATGCGTTAGTATTTCCCAACTGAACGCCTCGATCGTTTCCCTGACCCGTTTTGCTGTGTGTGATGGGGCATTATCATGGAGCAAAATGACTTTGTGTTGCCTTTTTCTATATTTTCAAACGAATTGAGACAGCTTTCTGCGTCACATTCAATTCATCCGCGAGTTCTTATTGAGTTCGAGTATCATCTTCATCCAATAAAGCTTGCAATTCGTTGTCTGCGAACTTTTTCGGTGGTTTCCCACGCTCTTCGTTTCTCACGTCAAAATCACCACTTTTGAATTTTTTCAACCACTCGAAACACTGTGTTTTACCAAGAGCATGTTCACTGTAAGCTTCGACAAGCATTCGATGCGATTCTGCAGCAGTTTTCTTCAAATGATAACAAAAAACCAATGCTGTCCGCAAATCGTAGATCGTAGGCACAAAACTCGACATGTTTAAGGTTATAGGAAAATATACCGGTGTATGGAACTTGGGTTGTTGTGTGTTGAAAATCTTCATCAGCTGTTAGAGGGAGATGATGGCGCTGCAGAAGCGGTCTTACGGTCTCTAAACTGATGGCTAGCACCATCTATAGGGAAATTCCGGTTTCATACTTCTACACCTGGTAGAAGGACGAGAAACTGTTGAAAATGAGGGGCACCGACATCGCCCGAGGGCCAGCGTAACAGAGGAGAATATTCGTTTGGTTGGCAGCCTTATCGAGGATGACTATCGATTAACGGTCGCTGAAATTGCTTCTGAGGTCGGAATAAGCTTCGGCAGTGCCCAGGCAATCATTACTGACCACCTTGGGTTTCGAAAAGTGTCCGCCAGATGGGCCCCTTGTCTTCTCACCGAAAATCAGAAACGGCACCGTTTGGAGCTGTGCGAATGGCTATTGACACGCTATCAGGCCGAAGGAGAAGCTTTTTTGCATCGAATTGTGACTTGCGACGAAACTTGGGTGCGCCACTATACCCCGGAATCCAAAGAAGCCAGTATGGAATGGCGAAAGAAAAGTGAATCTACACCCGTCAAAGCCAAAACTCGACTCTCAGCTGGAAAAGTTCTTGCAACCGTATTTTTTGACTTTAAAGGTATTTTGCAAGTCGATTTTCTTCATGAACGTCGTACTGTGAACGCCGCATACTGCTGTCAACTTTTGGACGAAGTAAAACGCGAATGTCGTCGGAAAAGACGCGGATTTCCAATCCAAGACGTTATCCTGCTTCACGACAATTCCCGGCTCCATACAACTGCATTAACTCATCAAAAAATTGAAGAACTGGTCTGGACTACACTGGAACACTCTCCCTACAGTCCGGACTTATCGCCCTGCGATTATCATTTGTTTGGACCACTGAAAGAAGCACTTGGAGGACAAAGATTTGACAACGATGCTTCTGTCGAATCCTTCGTGAGCGATTGGCTGCTGTCACAGCCGCCTTCATTTTATGATAACGGAATTAAAAAACTGGTTACCCGTTGGGAAAAATGTGTTTCGAAGTCCGGGGATTATGTAGAAAAATAGTTATGTATGTTAATTTTTTTATGATGCTTCAATTAAACAAAAAAATAATTCCGGTTTATATTTGATTCACCCTCGTATATATATATTGGTAATACAAATAAATTTCCGCCGTTTTTTTATAAAAATTATCAATTTATTGTAAAAAAAATATACGTTACATTTTATTCAAAATATTGTCCGTCACTAGCTACTACTTTTTGCCATCTTTCTGGCAGCATTCGGATGCCACGTCGAAAAAACTTTTCATCTTTTGAGGCTACCCATGAATCGACCCAATTTTTGGCTTCTTCGTAAGAAGTGAAGTGCTGCTCGACCAGGGCGTGAGCCATCGACCGGAACAAGTGGTAGTCCGAAGGAGCAATGTCTGGTGAATACGGCGGGTGGGGTAAGACATCCCATTGTAAAGCTTCCAAAGTATCCTTGACGACTTTTGCAACATGTGGCTGAGCGTTGTCGTGCTGAAAAATCACTTTGTCATGTCTTTTGGCATATTGGGGGCGTTTAAGCTTCAATTCTTGGCTTAATTGCATCAGTTGCTATTGATAACGTTCTCCAGTGATAGTTTCGTTAGGCTGGAGTAGCTCGTAATAGATTACTCCGAGCTGATCCCACCAGATGCACAACATTAGCTTCTTGCCATGAATACCTGTATTCGGTTTGGCCGTTGAAGTTGGTGCATGGCCGAGCTTACCTCACGATTTCCTACGCTTTGAGTTGTCGTAGTGGATCCACTTTTCATCCCCCGTCACTATTCGATGCAAAAAACCCTTCCGATTTTGTCTTTGGAAAAGTTGTTCGCACGTGAAAAGACGGCGTTCGACGTCTCTGGGTTTGAGTTCATGCGGAACCCAATTTCTTTGCTTTTGTACCATACCAATGGTCTTGAGACGGTTTGAAATCGCTTCTTGAGTCACTCCTAAGTTTTCTGCGAGCTGCTCTTGAGTTTGACATGAGTCTTGGTCCAATAATGCCTCTAACTCAGCGTCTTCAAACTTTACTGGCCTTCCTTCGCGTTCTTTATCTTCCACGTCAAACTCGCCGTTTTTAAACTTTTGAAACCATTCACGACAACTTCTCTTATTTAAAGCAACATCACCGTAAACTTCTACAAGCGACCGATGCGCCTCAGCAACAGATTTCTTTAAATGAAAGAAATAAATCAAAGCTTCCCGCAAATGACGCTTATTCGGTACAAAACTCGACATTTTCGAACGAAAAAAATGTATACTGCCTATACAAAGTCAATAGTATTTTAAGGTTATGTTGTTGCCAGGTGTCCAAACTTTCTATATGATGTTTTACATCTGACGATTTCAAAGTAATCTTGTCGGTGGAGCCATCTTTTGAAAACGGCGGAAACTTATTTGTATTACTAATAGAACAAGTCGGGTCATATTGACTCGAGCAGTATAATTGTTCAGTAAATTAGAACAGAAAACAGAATTAATCAATCCTAATTTTATATTCAGCGAAAATGTTTCAATTTAAATTTGTTATAAAATATTTATTATATTAAATTATTAATTATGTTATTTATTAATGAATTATGTGTCATAATAACTTTCCTCCAAAGGTTATGTCATTAATTATTAAATACGAATGGCTGGAAAAGCAATGTGTTGTACGTGCTTACTAAGGCAATTCTACGACTAAAATATATTCTAGCGTAAAATAGCAATACAGTAAAACGTAAGTAGTAAGCTAATTTGTCAATTGGATTCAGAGTTCAAGAATAATCGACTGATTGGTTCGTTAATTTATAATTTATGCATTACCACTTATGTATTATCATTTTACGCTGTTGTAGAACGGCATAATGTGTACATATTATACGGCTTAAATATAAACATATTAAAACGACTATATAAGGTATGTTTCACGCGCGTTGATGATCGTATTAATCAATTATACGGGAATAAGTAAGAAGTACTAGCAAACAAAGAGATTGCCTCAAATTTGGTGTTGTCAACAAAATTTCTTGATACTGAATCGTTGAAAATATTGTAGAAGACCTACGGTAAGTCAGCTTCATCGAATACATCTACATCGCACATATTCAAATGTGTATATTGAACAGCAGTTATGGAACCTCTTAAAAATGTATCGAGAAACATGGGTATCGAGAAACATATGCGTACAACTTATGTTTATCTACCTTACAAATATCTGAACATACATGTACGTGAAAGTTACGAATACGACTTGAGACAAACTCACTTTGCGTGTGTGCATATATACGTGTGATATGAGAAGTTGATCTCACCAGGCGAGAAAAATTACCTTTTTCGTGAGTAAGATTTTGAGATCTCATGATTGACTGTACCAATCTTAATCAGATTGTCATATTATGTAAGAAGAAGCTTTTGCTAACTTATCTACATTGCAATCAAAAGCTTGCATTAACATTACGTAAGAAAAATGCTATTAAACTTTTTATTACAATTTTAGTTTCTGAATTATCTTAATTGAAGGCTTGATTGGCCTGAAAACTCTAGATAGGCTATCTGTAGAGCTGCGTTAACGCGAACCTTGAGCATAAAAAATTTGTCATTTTTTTAAATGTTGCAACCGTTCCGTGACTTATTGGTGTTGCAACATTGCCGTGCGACTTGAGATAAAAAAGATTATCTGTGATGGATAAGTAATTTTACTTATCTGAAATCAATGAGTTACATCTAACTCAGGAAAAAATTAATAACTTTCTAATTATTCCTAACAATGAGGATTAATTTAAACTTGATAAAAATCTGTTGTTAAAATTTAAAACGTTACGAGAGAGCGCAGTATTTTAAGTAAAATACTTATTCAATAGATAACATAAAATTTATATGTATATAATATGTATTGTATATTATGTATTTATGTGTGTACATTATATATTGACATGGATTTGTATTTTATAAATATATATACCTGTATAAAAATTGTATCGAATAAATGAAACTTCAAACTTTATTTAACTCGATTTAATTTTATTTATATGTATTCATTTTTTTAATGTGACAAATGATATGTATTTCATTAAATGATAAATATTCCAGAATCTAAATGCAGTATTAATCGAGAAATTATACATGGAGAAAAAAGGCTAATTAACTTAACTTGACATTGAACGAATCAAATGTTTTTTATTTATTTAAAGGTAAATAATTTCAGATTTTTTAAATTTCAGATGGAATAATTTTGATTTTCACGTAAATAAAACAAATACATATATTACAGCAATTGAAAAACTTTTCAAGTGTACGG